TTTAAGTTTGAATCTCTAGGCCCCTCCTTAATCACTTTAATCTCCTTATCAATGGGATCCTCTCCATCATATGCCAGGGCTCCAACATTTATCTTTCTAGTGCTCTTTTTCAATCTAAACTGTATTTCTTTCTGCCCCATTTGCTTTTTCTGGAGGCGGCTGGAGCAGGAGCAGCTGAAGTGAAGCTCTCACATCATCACACAGGCACAGGAAGCAAGAGAGCATTTGGAGATCTGGCAAGGCTTAAGAACTCTCTAAGCCCACCCCCAGTGATGTGCTTCCTCCAGGCTAGCCACACCTTCTAAAACCTCCCAAAACAGCACCATCATCTGGGGACAAAGTATCCAAACACTTGGAGCCTATGGGGGACCACATTCCACCCCCTGGCCCCCATAGGCATATGACCATATAAAATGCAAAATGCATTTAGTTCAACTTTAAGCCTCTGTAAAATCAAAAGACAAATTACAAACTCCCAACATACAGTGGAACTGAATACATATTACCATTCCAAAAGGGAGGAATGGAGGCATAGTAAGGAAATACTGGACCAAAACAAGACCAAAAACAGCAGGGCAAACACCAAATCCAGTAGCTCCACATCCAACTTCTGGGACTTTACTTCCAAACGGCTTAGATGGCTCAGCCTCTCTAGCTTTGCTGCATGCAACATACATCTCTCTCTTGTGCTGGCACCACTCCCTGTGTGCAGGTCTTCTCAGCAGATGCCTCACAGCTCTGGCATCATGAACTTCTCGGGGCCTCCATTGCCAACCAGGCTTCACCTTCACAGCTTCACGCAGTGGCCTATCAGGGCCTTCTCTAGGCAGGGGCACGCCTGCTTCACGCTGCCCGGCCTCCAAGGCTCACTGAAACCTTGGAGGAGGACGTGATGACCCTTTCACTCTTGCATCTTTCATGCCTCTAAAGCCAGCACCAGGTGAGCAACACTGCCAAGTCTGGCTGCAAGTTTGAGATGGACCCCAGGCTGCTTTATCCATTTTAGAAGCTTTTCTCGTCATTGGTCCCTCAACCCAGGTGTGTCAAGTTGACACTAAAGCTATCCAGCATAATTATAATAGACATTATTCTGGGCTGGCATCTGTTGTCATGTAGAACTGGAAATACCTTGGTCCAGGCTCTTCTGGCTTTCATAGTTTGCATTGATATGTCAGCTGTAATTCTGATGGGCTTTCCTTTGTATGTGAGTTTTCTTTTGCTGCTTTCGGTATTCTCTCTGTTCTGTAAATTTAGTGTTTTTACTATGATTATGTCATGGAGAGTTTCTTTTCCGATCCTGTCTATTTAGTGTTCTATGTGTTTCCTGTATTTGTATGGGGATGCCTTTCCTTAATTTTGGGAAATTCTCTTCTACAATCCTGTTTAAGATCTGGTCAACACCATTAACCTGAAATTCTTCTCCTTCCTCTATTCCTATGATCCGTAGATTTGGTCTTTTCATGGTGTCCCACATCTCTTGCATATTCCATTCCTATGTTTTTAAAAATATTCCATAATCTTTGCTTGAGTGGTCCAATTCTTCAACTTTATCCTCCAGTGTTGATATTCTGTTTTCCATTTCATTCATTCTAGAGGTGAGGCTTTTCCCTGTTGTTTCATGTCGGCTTATTGAGTTTTGCACTTCCTTCTTCATTTCTGCCTGAGTTTTCTTCAATGTTTATCTCTTTTGTGAATTCATTCAGAAGTTTATCCCTATCTTCTTTTAGCTCTTTGTTAAATTTTCCTTCTGATTTTAAAGTATACAAACCTTATGACAAATATAAGAAACACATGCAGGATATGGTAGACACACCTCAGCACTTGGGTGAAAAAAGCAAGATGATCACCACTAGTTCAACGGTGTCTTGGGCTACTTAGTTTCAGGCTAGCCAGGGCTACATAATGAGACACAAAAGAAAAAAGAAAAAGAAAATATAGGAAATACACAGAAAAATAATTTTAAATCACAGCTAACCTAACAAAGATAATCATTGTTGATAAAATGGTGTGTTTACTTTCAGTATTTTTTCTGTGTGTAACCAATCTATCCATATCAATCATGTTCAGTCTTCAGGCTTGTTTTCTTAATTCTGACCTAAGTAAAGCTATGATGGAATTAAACAGGAAGACATGCGATTTTACAGCTGCATGGTTTTCTACTGTACGAAGACATGTAAGTTCTTTGTGGGCTTTGTTTGCTGAGACAGGGTCTTGCTGTATGGCCTATGCAGGGCTCAAACTCATGGTAATCCTGTCTCAGCTTCCTCAACACTGGGATTACAGGCTATGCCTGGCTCACCATACATCTTTTTCATTATAGTTCTTTACTGCTTTCTTTCCTTCCTCCCTTCCTTTCCTTCCCTTCCTTCCTTCCTTCCTTCTTCCTGGAGCACAAGGATTATGTCAGTGATAGTAGTGAGAGTCAGAGAGAGAGAGAGAGAGAGAGAGAGAGAGAGAGAGAGAGACTGGGAATTAAACAGGGCTTTGTGAAACTAGGCAAGCACTTAACCATTTGAACTAGATCTTCAACTATTTATATTTTTAATATTTTTTATGTGTATAAGTGTAATTGCTCACATGTGCATAAGTACATCCAATGCCCAAGAAGGTCAGAAGAGGCTGTTGGATCACCCGGAACTGGAATTAGCTGCCATATGGGAGCTGGGAATCGAACTCAGGTCCTCTGCAAGGGCAGCCAGCACTCTTAACCGCTGAGCCATCTCTCCAGCCCCTGTGTTTTAGCCAGTGCCTCACTATGTATACCAAACTGACATTGAACTCATCATCCTGTTCCTCCAACCTCCTGAGGGCTGGGATTACAGGCTTCCTCCCACCCCCTCCTCCTCCTCTTCCTCCATCTCCCCTGCATCCCCTCCCCTCCTCCTTTCTTCTTCCTCTCCTTTTCTTTTTTTTTTGGACAGGGTCTCACTCACTATGTAGCCCAGGCTAGTCTAGTCTGGCTGGTCTGGAATTTGTGATCCTCCTGCTTCAGCCTCCTTAGTATAGGAACCACAGGCCTGAACCACTAACACTTGGTCAGTCTTTAAATTTTTATAAATATCACTGCAATGAATAAACTTGTACACAAATTCTTGTGGTACGTCTTTTTAAAAAATTCATTTAAAGCCAGGTGTGGCGGTGCATGCCTTTAATCCCAGCACTGAGGAGGCAGAACGTGGATCTCTGTGAGTTCAGGGCCAGCCTGGTCTACATAGTGACTTCCAGGACAGCTGGGGCAACAGGGAGACCCTGTCTCAAAAAGACCAAAATAAATAAATAAATAAAAATAATCCGTTTAAGACACAATATTTGTTCTGTCTGGTGTTAACACTTTTGTTTTTTTCTATTCAAAACATCTTTCCCTATCCTGGCTTGTTGGCTGGGAACCATCATTAAAACATAAATTGCTTTCAATTCTACTGTAATGTTAATTTTATTTTAGGCACAGACTGCTACAGTTACACTAAACTGTATGCCTGGTGGTGATAAACCCTCTGTGTCCTAATACACTACAAAGGCTGTCATTTTAACTGACATTTTCCTATGACAATCTCGTCTAACTAGTCTAAGGATCTGAGGATCTGGGTACTCTAACAGGGTGAAGCTCTCTAAACATTGAATTAAAGAACCTGCTCTAAAACGCTGCTTTTTTACCCTGCTGAGGCCCTTGAACCCCCAGCCCCTCCAGAAGGCCCACACTTCATTTCCTGCCTCTTCCCACCTTCGAGCCCTGCAGCACCTCTTCGCAATACAAAGCCACCTTCTCCCTGCGCCACATGTCCCTCATGGGGGACGCGCAGAGAGGGGGCAGGGGCTGAGACGCCTCCTCCTCCGCCTCTTCCTCCTCTTCCTCCTCCTCCTCAGGCACCGACAGAACAGGCTCCTCTTCTCCCACCCCGGCCCTCTCTGCGGGGCCCTCGGCCTGGGAGACCGGCGGGACCTGGAGGCGCCGCCGGGCCGCCTTGCCCTTCACCGGGCGCAGGGAAGCCACCACCGAGCGCACCAGGGACACTGGGCTCTTAACGGGCGAAGCCACCACCGTGCGCACAGGGGACTCCGGGCCCTGGACGGGCGCCTCCCCCTCCGTGTCCCGGGGAGTGGTGGGGACAGCCCCTGCTACCGGCGAGCTGGTGTTCCTGACACCGTCCTCGGACTCGGCGACCGTGGGATCCGACTCCATGTCCGCGCTTAGGCGGGCAGCTGCAGCCGTTGACGCCTTCCGTTGGCTGCGCTGTGAGCCAGTGACCCAGGCCGCGAACCACACGTGCACAGGGCGGTGCCCTCGCTTAGCCACACCCACTGCCCTTGGCGTCATCTTCAACCCAGCGTTCCCTTCCCGAGGGGGCGCTTTCTTAGGGTCCTCACACATTTTGGGGGTGACTTTTTTGAGACATTTAATCCAGACAGACCTCATACTCCTGTGTAGCCAAGGATGACTTTGAACTTTGGATCCTCCAGCCTCCACCTCCCAAGTGCTGAGATTGCAGACTTGTGCCACCACATCTGGTTTGTGCATGCTAGGTAAGCAGCCGACTGAGCTACATCCCCAGTCCAAGAAAACATTTTTATGTTAGCAGATAATTGTAAATGGGACCATCTGATAATGACTAGAGAAAACTCTAGGGACAAACCTAGCCTCCCTTCCACAAGAACCCCAGTGTAAAATATCCTTTATATTTCAAAGCGGATACCCACTTTTTATCAAGATGTGGTCGTGCCAAGAGATAAATTAGTCTATCTGTGCTCCATTGCTTGAAATTCTCCCAAAGACGAATGCATTATGTAACTGTTAAAACACAGTGAACACAGATTTCCAGTGGGAACAATGTGCAACAGATTTTCACAGAAGTCTGTTCAAGAACACAGCACTGGGGAACAGGGTTTCTAGTATTTGACAACGAAATGGACAGTGAGCCAACTGGAATAATGTTTGTTTATGTCTAGTTGAGAAACACTGGGGTTGACAGACCCCAGAGCACTGGGAAAACACCTGCCTTCCTCCAGCTCTCCTGGAAGGAGGACACTGTGTTAAATTCTGAGTTTCTTTGGAAGAAAACAGTAGCACTGCTATCATGTTACTGTAGTTCAGAGAATAATTACAACATGCGTCACACTTTTGCTCCAGCTTATTCCTTTTGTCACTAGTCTTCCTTCCTTCCTCCCTCCCTCCCTTCTTCCTTCCTTCTTCCTTCCTCCCTCCCTCCCTCCTCCTTCTTTCCTTCCCTCCCTCCCTCCCTCCCTCCTTCCTTCCTTCCTTTCTTTCTTTCTTGAGTCAGGCCCCACTGTCTAGCTCTGGCTGGCTTGAATTTTGATATGTAGACCAGGTTAGTCTCACAGAGGTCTGCCTGCCTACCCCTCCTGAGTGCTGGGACTAAAGGCATGCCACCATGCCCAGCCTAAAATCCTGTCTCTGTCTCTCTGCCTCTGTGTGTCGCTCTCTCTGTGTCTCTCTGTCTCTGTCTCTCTCCCCCCCCCCCCCCCCCCGCCTCAGACAAGTTCTCCTGTAGTTCCAGCTGGCCTTGCTATGTAGACCAGGCTGGCATCAACCTCACAGAGATCTGCTTGCCTCTGCATCCCAAGTGCTAGGATTAAAGGCGTGTGCCACCACCCCTGGCTAAACACATACTTTTCAAATAGTTGCATAATATTTTATTTAAATGAATATAATTTGTATCTCTATATTTCCAGATGTGTGGGTTACATTGATTTTTAGAAATAACATGCCATTTTTGGACAGCTTTGTATACAAGTTTTTGCTTAGAGCTCATATTTTTTCCATGGGGGAAAACTGGATTACTAAATCAAGATGTACGAATGGATTGTATTGGCAACCTCAGTATGCCAAATTGTTTCCTCTTTCTTTTTTAAAAAATATTTATTATTTTTATTTAATGCGTATGACTGTATTGCCTGCATGTGTGGAAGTGCACCCATGACATGCAATGCCCTCGGAAGTCAGAAGAAGGCGTCAGATTCCCTCAAACTGGAGTTACGGACATTTGTTAGCCACCATGTGGGAGCTAAGAATCAAACCCGGGTCCTCTGCAAGAGTAATCAGTGCTCTTAACCACTAAGCTATCTCTCCAGCCCCAAAAGTATTAATTTCTATGTCCATTACAAGATAAAATTCCCAGTGGGCTGAGTTTTGAAAGAAAGAAGCTATAGGCAACTAAGGCAGGGGCAAAATAGGTTCAAGTAGGGTTAACTTTGCAGGGTCATGGGTGGTTTCTACAGGGTAAAAGAACTTGGCCTAAGAGAGTGTGGGTAGAGGAGAGATGACAAATTGGGATGAAAGTCAGATCGTCAAGCTCTACAATAGCTACATCACAAAGGGTTATAATATTTTTTTTTAAACCAGAGCATTTATTTTATGATGGATAATGGAAATCCTCAAGATGAACTGGATGCTACAACAGCTGCCCTCTTGGGTTTTGGTGTCATTCCTTCCTGGAATCCACGTCTGAACCTGCGATGGACCCTTTTCAGGTGCCTCATCTGCCCAGTCCCAGCAGTACTCTGTCTCTTAGCCTTGGCACTCCAGTTTTTCTGTCTCTTTGGCCCAAAGACTGTATCGCTGCAGCCTGCTGTCCCAGCCTCTAGAGCCAGATCCTTAGTTCTGACAGGTTCCTCGTCAACACTATGGCTTTTGACTTTCTATTGGCCCCACCTGCCTGCTGAAAGGGACCTGGGATAGGTGAATAATATCCACCTCAACATTTTTGCAAAAGAAAAATATATACTGCATATTTGGTGTGTAGGGGGCATGATGGGACTGCCCACTACTAGGTCAAGCTTGATTTAAAAAAAAAAAACTTGTACTACTTGATCATTTGATCCTGTGAACTGCTCAGGTTTTTGCATTTGCCTGTAGCCCCAGCTGTCCTGGAACTCACTATGTAGACCAGGCTGGCCTTGAACTCACAGAGATCCGCCTGCCTCTGCCTCCTGAGTGCTAGGATTAAAGGTGTGCGCCACCACGCCCGGCTGTATTTATTTATTTTTATTTCATATGTACAAGTGTTTTGCTTGCTCGCATGTACATAAGTGCATTGTATGTATGCAATGCCCACAGAAGCCAGAGGATGTTGGATTCTCTGGAACTGGAGTTATGGATTGGTGTTAGCTGCTATGTAGGTGCTGGGAGCTGAGCCCAGGTCTTTTGGAAGAATAGCCAATGCTCTTAACCACTGAGCTTCATCTCTCTAGGCCCTGCTGCTCAGGTTCTAAAGTCTTCTTGAAGCTCACTAGCACAGCATTTGGCTTTCTGTTAATTTTTTCCCTAGGAACTCTGGCTTGACACACATCTTGACACATTTACCTTCATGTGGCCTTTGTCTGTTTGCCCTTTTCTCATTCCCTCTTGATTGTTCTTTCACCTGACAAACCCCATTTATGGGCCAGCTAAAGTCATTCAGATGCTCCAGAGCTTCTCCTACCTCATAAACCATGCCCCACCATGAGGCTCAGCAAAACCACATAACCTACACCATTCTCAGGGTCCCTGTTCATTTAGCCTCTTTTTAAAAAAAAAAAAAAAAATTGTTTTGGTCTTTTTGAGACAGGGTCTCCCTGTAGCCCCAGCTGTCCTAGAACTCACTATGTAGACCAGGCTGGCCTTGAACTCACAGGGATCTGCCTGCCTCTGCCCCCCCGAGTGCTGGGATTAAAGGCGTGCGCCATCACGCCCAGCAGAAAACTTTTTAAAAAAAATTATTTATGGGTCTGGAGAGACGGCTCAGCAGTTAAAAACACTGCTCTTGCAGAGGACCTGGGTTTGGTTCCCAGCACCCACCTGGTGGCTAACAACTGTCCGTAATTCCAGTACCAGGGGATCCGATGCCCTCTTCTGACAAAATCTGGAGGCTGATGGAGGTGGTAGGGATGGCAGGTTGTACAGGGAAGGTCTCACCCCCACAGTGATATTTAAATGGGCATCTGATGGACAGCAGTTGGAAAACTATGGACTCTGGCAATTGCAAACAAAGAGATTTTTTCACCCCTAAGACAATTCCCAGATAGAAGGAACAGAGGAAATAAAGAATAACTACAGTTTGGGGGTCTTTAACATTGACATCTTCTTTTCTCTTTTTTAATTGAATTTTTGTGTATTTCATACAAAAAATCATCTTTTTAAAAAGTACTTATTACTTTATGTGTATGAATGCCTTGCCTGTATGTGTGTAAGTGCACCCATGTCATGAGGAGGTCAAAGGAAGGCATCAGACTCCCCTGGACCAGAGTTAGGAATGGTCATTTGCTGCCATGTGGGTGCTGGGACTCGAACCTGGGTCTTCTGCAAGAACAGCAAGTGCTCTTAACCACTGAGCCATCTGTCCAACCCCAATCTTGATCATCTTTATACCCTCTCCTCTGTCTGCACCCTCCTATAGTGCCCCCTACACTGGATTTCATGGACTCTGTCCTACAGGTTAAGGCCTATCGAGTCAAGTTTGTGTACTCAGATGTCCCTCAGTGCAAGTTCATCCGCTGGGGTCTAATCTACCTAGAATCTCTCCCCTAAAGATCAACTCTCCCTCACCCAGCAGTAATACAACTGCCAATTTTTTTTAGGCTAAGGTTGGGGCCTGCTGCCCATTTCCCCAGTTCTCTGCTGGGTTTTTGACATGTTATTTTCATCTTCCCCTAGGTAGCTGTACTGGACAGCTTTAGTTGTCAACTTGACACACCTGGGTAGCGGGAGCCTCAACTGGGGAATTGCCTCCATTGCGCTGGCCTGTGGCCATGTCTGTGGGGTATTTTCTTGATTTTGAGTGATGTGGGAGGGCCCAGCCCACTGTGGGTGGTGCCACCTCTGGGCAGGTGGTCCAGTATTGTATAAGAAAACAGGTTGAGCACAGACCAGGGGAGCAAGCCAATAAGAAACATCCTTCATGGCCTGTGCTTCAGCTCCTGCCTCCAAGTTCCTGCCTGAGTTCCTTGGGCTCCCTCAGTGATAAACTGTGACCTGGGAGATGTAAGATAAAATAAACCCTTTCTTCTCCAAGTTGGTATTGGTCAGACTGTTTTGTCACAGCAATTGAAAAGAAACTAGAACAGTAGCTGAGGATGACCTTGCAGTTCTGATCATCCTGCCTCCATTTCCAGAGTACTGGAATTACAGGCCTCTGCCCCTGTGCCAGTTTATTTGTTGCTGGTGATGGAGCCAAGGCTTCCTGCATG